AACTCGGACGCGAGTATACAACAGTACAACACCTAACTTGTGTCCGCATGTTGGCACAATTTTCGACTAAAATTGTTCTACTTTTGTACTTATTGCCCGGATTTTCGCTGCTGGCGAAATTCGCTTCTAGTGTGTCACTGCTTCAAAGTCCTGACAAGAACGATGGTAAAATTTTCAGCGCTAACAGCTGAAACATTTTATTGTCAGTAGGCGATATATATGGTGAAAAAAAGTGTATACATAGGTGCAAAAGTTTATAAGTGATTTTGTGGGCTGACTTTTGGATTTGTGAAGAGTACTTTCAAAAGCCGTGAGCGATCGAACAATGAAAAGAGCAACTGACAATACCGAATATGCAAAAAACATGTAAATGTAATATTAATAATAAAAAATAATAAATTATTAATAACAAAAAAATTCCAGAGTAAAAATGAAAATGTGCTTGCATTGTGTAAGCACAAAACTTTTTATTTCACAGACATTTGCTACAAGGTCAAGGTTCTTAGCGCCGTCTCCGATGCTGATGATTAATTAAATGATTTTGAACAACTAATGATACAGTCAATAATTGACAACATTTATCATGATGAATTTAATCAATAAATTGGTTATTAAAGACCATCACAATTAATCCAAGATCCACGAAGGAGTTATTGAAGTGTAGGCATTTTACTGGCCAGTAAATAACTGTTCTACGGCTTCTGGATCTACCAACACCATAAGGACTAACATTTCACTATATATTTTCTCAATTTTATCAACCACTTCGATATGTTATCACTATAGCGTGACGCCCACCTGTACGTATAACACTTCCGGTTCGCTTGTGTTATACGTATTTGGACTCTGGCGCCTGACGAATGTCGGGGAGCATTATTACGATAGCTGTTCTTAGAACAGAGTGTTCTAGGAACATCATTACGACCGTTAAACGAACAGTTCGGCGAAAATTATAAAGAACATTATTTTTTGAACATACTGTTCAGTGAACGCATTGACGAAAGTTGCTTGTTGATCTCCCTGACGAATTTTTTTCTGCCTTTCCTTTCAAAGTCAAAAATTACGGATTTATATTATTTTTAATCATACCCATTCCAGAAAATAAATTTTCAATCTAATCTTTTCTTCCCAGTATTACTATCCTTTACCATTATCCTTCGCTATTCTCCGACGTAGAACAAATTTTCAGGTCCAAACAATATCTTTACACGATAAGTATCCCGGATACGCGCCCGTATATACGGCCCCCAATTATATATATTGCGGTGCCATATGGGCTTTAATTAAACACACGGAAAAATTTGGTCAAATATATACATGAGATTATTTCTTCGAAGGTTCTGACAAGCTTGCTATAAATGCGATCCATATGTCTTGATATATTAATTCATATTGTACTCATATCAAAACTTTGATCTATATATGATTGGTTATTATAACAAGGTTGCGTTTACAATTCGAATAATGGCAAGTGTGATGATGTTGAACATGTCTCCTTAACATGCATACATAATGACATAATGTCAAGAGGATAAGGGTTCGAATTTTGATTATGCAAGGTGAAGTTGAACAATGATTAATGTTTCTTGAATTTAGTTTTTAAATAATAAATGCAGTTGCAAGTGGTCGAAAGGTTAAATGTGCGATTTGAGATAGTTTCGTTTATTCACTCTACAGTATTATAAATATTTCATTTGGTTTAGTTCATACATAATAATTTACGCGCTTAGATTGATTACGCTCATTCATACAATCTTACTCTTCTCACACGCTTTCGCTCATTCATACCACTTTATTTGTGTCACTATTTTTTTCGCCTATTTCGATTATTTTATTAATTTTTCATTCATATAATTTTTCTTGCTTCAACTTGTTTTCTATATTAATTGGTTTGATCATTTTATTTTATGCTTTAACGGGTTCCCTTCATTCACATTATTTTATAATTTTCAGCGGGTTCCGTTCATTCATAAATTTATCTTGTTTCAGAAACTTTCGTTCATTCATACTATTTGTTATTTGTTGTGGCGGATTGCGTCACTCCTAATACGTACTATACGGTACTTAATTCAGTGTGTTTAGTTCATTCATAATATCCACTTATTTCATTGGGTTTCGTTCATTCAAATCAATTTACTCGTTTCAAAGGTTTTCGTCAACTCACACTACTTCGCTTGTTTCAGTGGGTTTGGTTCATTTAAATCCAGCTCCCTAAGTCTCTATAATATACTTGTAATAATTAATGTTGAATATTATGATAGTTGAACATCATAATAAAGCCAATAAAAAGAAAAAAATCATATTAATGAGGAAAAACGCAAGAAGATTGGATTAGATTAGTTAAGAATGTTGATGCTTGCGATTTATCTCCTGGCTGTTAATGGTGCTCGCTGGTACTGTACACGGGGACAACAGTGGCGGCCAGTACAGTACAACCTACAAATACTGTCTGCAAATAATTGCCGTGCTATTGCCCTCGTGTGGTAATTATTATAAATAATTTATTATAAATAATTTATAATAAATAAGCTAGAAGGTCATTGGCCGAGTATGGGTCCAGTAACCCTTTACATGAGACCAGTAGAATGATAATCAGCACGCTATTAAATAAATTTTTCCATCAATGTTAGTCAGAAACATGATAATTTTCATGCTTTCAGTTGCGCTTAGCATCTGAAAGTTGTACTGGCAGCCACTATACTGTCTCTGTGTACAAGCCCTCATAATAGCTCTGATTAAAGAAAGTATTGGGCTACTTAGTATCCTTAGAATCCTTAGAATCCTTAGTATCCTTAGTGTCCTCAGTATCCTTAATATCCATAGTATACGTTTCGACGTAGCAGTCCCAGGCAACGATATATCGGGTAGAGTTGGGGCAGGCAGTAAGTTGGGCAGAGTTGGTGCAAATAAGAGAGTCGGGTATACTTGAGCAAGTAAGTTTGTTGGGTAGAGTTGGGGCAGAAAAGTTCGTGGGTAGGCTTGGTCACATGAGTGAGTTTAAAAAAACTAAAGCAAAACATAATATAGGTAAAACACAACTTTCAAGTATCAATAATACGCAGGTATGTTTAAGTTTGGGAAATAAAGCCCGAGAAAGGAAGCAATACATGCTGCCCGGATTGCAGAGTGGAGGCTATATTTGGAAAGAAGTGGATTTTTTTGAACTAAAAATAAAACTGCTAAGCATAAGACAGAACAATTTAACAATATATATTACAAACATAACATATAACAGCTTTAATGTACACAAAAATTACAAGAAATGTCACAGTGCACAAATAATGACGTGTGATATCATAATACGCAAAATTAGCATAAAATTAACGATTTTAACGGTTACAAAAATATTACCATTGTCAGAAAAACGCTGAAAATTGTATTCGTCACGAATTACATTCCAGCAGTATTCATTATAATTATTAGCATAATCACGAAAATAATAAATAGAAATGTTGTCATTTGAAATTGTAATTATTTCACCGTAGTCATCATTATGGCCGCGGTGTGCGTTATTGAGATATCCTGCCTGGTATGCGCGAGGAGACCCTGGCGTATCAAGCGGGCGTATCAAGCGGGCGTATCAAGCGGGCGTATCAAGCGGGCGTATCAAGCGGGCGTATCAAGCGGGCGTATCAAGCGGGCGTATCAAGCGGGCGTATCAAGCGGACGTATCAGGCGGGCGTATCAAGCGGACGTATCAAGCGGACGTATCAAGCGGGCGTATCAAGCGGGCGTATCAAGCGGGCGTATCAAGCGGGCGTATCAAGCGGGCGTATCAAGCGGGCGTATCAAGCGTATCTAAATACGTAAACGCTGCATCAGTTCGGCAATATCATTGCGCACATATACCATATAATAATCCGTTTATAAATCGATCGCTAGACATCATTAACAATGGGTTAATTAGTTGTAATTGATATTGTTTTCGCCAGCGTAATGGCTTCTAAGTTTTGTTGAATTAAATGGCAGTGCCAAATTGTTTAATGTTATGCGACCTTATAATGACGATTAATAAGGACGGTTATCATGACGTGTATTATCTATTGATAAGCTATCAGATGACTATAAGTGCATTCGTCGTGAATCATTGCCTTATGGCACTAAATTTCTTACGGCACTAAAAAGTCCAATAATTAGACAGGGTGCGTGAAAAGCTAATTTCAACGTAGAATGATACGAACTGAAATAGTGAAAGCTGAAAAAGCAAAAAATATTGTTATTGAAATGCCGGGTGAACGTCGTGAAGATGGCGTGGTAGCGTGACCGTGGACCGTGCCGAAACAAACCTTAGGACTCTATTGTCTGTGTGAGATCTCAGTGCTTTGAGGACTTCTGATGAGCAAATTCAAATTCAAATTTATGTATTCAGCAAGTGACAATTAACGATATTTAAATAATAAGCTTGATATTTAAATATGATATTAAATTAATGATATTTAAATAATATGTCTCATGCAATGCTTTGAGGACTTCAGATGTGCAAATTAAAAATTCATTTTCAGGACTCAGCAAGTGACAATTAATGACGTTTAAATAAAAAAATATATCTGGAGTAAAGGTTCTGTCAGTCTAGTTTCATATGTCAGTTCAAATACTACTATTCGAACGAGCTATACACAGACATTTATGCTCTAAAATTAGGGAAATAAAAAATAACATCAAATAAAATTCAAGAAATTGCTGCTCCTTTGGTGACTGCGTTTGATATTTTTGGATACGCTACAGGCGTAGATTAATTCAAACATGCATGACCTTTTCAAAATAATCATTAAAGGAGTACACTCTTTAAGTACACGTAGGAACCGATTTACAAACTTTTATGTCTTTAGTAAGTGCTTTATGTAAGGCAAAATCGCCACGGCAAAAACCCTTGATGAAAAAAATTGAAATTTTCTGTTGCACGTAAAATTGTGGGAGAAAATAGATTGTCATTAACTTTAAGATATAAAAATTTAAATTTCTTCCAAGTAGTTGAACGCCGCCGTACTATAACAACGTACCTGCATGAGTAGCATCTTTTTTAGTTGATGGAAACATAACTAAAAAATTTTCTTTAGTTGTGCACAATGTGGAGAGCAATATTTTTGTTGGCATGCAATATGAAGTGGAACTGGTTAAAGAGCTGCAATGACACGATACAGTTTTTATATGAGATGTTATCAAGGTATTATCATATCCTAATCTGCTGATTAATAACACGTACACTATTAGAGGACCAATGTTGCCTTTTTAGCGCATTTTCTCATTTATGAAAAAAATGCACTATTGGTTTTGGATTTTTTTGTCGACTTAATTACGAAACGTATTTTCCAAAATTTTTGAAAATCGTATACTGGCCTTTTTATATTTTATTTTTAAATCATTGATGTTCATAACTATCTAACATTATACGTATATATGAATTTTATGTACAAGATGGACAGTCTCGAACGTCATCCATCGTATACATTTCGTGACATCACACTTTTTTGACCGACTGTGGTGCAACTTTTACAAATTTCAGGCCAATCTGATGACTCAACTATGACGAAGAAGTACATAGAGAAAATATTTATAATAAACGACGAGATTGCGTCACATTAATGCCGGGCACAAAGACATCGATATTTGCAACAGCAAAGAATCTAAAGAATCCTGAAAAAATGGCGCGTCAAAAACCGTATCATTTGACTTTACCATATCATAACATATTAATTTTAAAATATTTTTACCTTGCCCGTGAATTGTATAAAAAATATAACTCAGTAGTCACTGCCGTGAGTGACAGACAGCGCATTTTCTCGTCGACGAAAACGTGAAGTCACGGACGGACAGACGAACCGACAGACGGACGGACATGACGAGCACAATAGTGCATTTTTCCATAAATGAGAAAATGCGCTAGAAAGCCGTATTGCTCAACTGATGATAAATTGTAGATAAACAAATCAGAGTAAAATACAGTGCAATGTACAGGGACCACGTGCATACCTCATGATTTATGGTCACGCATGTCAGAAAATGTAAAAACGAAGTATTGTTTATTAAACAAATGAATCGTTTATAATGAATTTATGAAGGAAAATGAAAATCCATTAGCTGCATCTTGGTGTGTTGTTCTAGTAACTTCTCGATAGTTCACTTTACGATGTAAATTGTCATCAAACTTGCAGCAGCCTTTTCGTGCTAACATGCTAAACAAAATCGTATGTATTATTTGTCATGCGTATAACTTAATAAATTTTAAAAATTAACACAGACAGAATTTTTGCCCTTGAATACGCGATATTTCATAGCAGCAAATTTGACTATTGATCACTCAGTTCTACATAGCTCTTCAAATCACGTAGGGATCGATTTCCGGTCAGTCTAGATTATATATATCAAGTCATAATTCATAGAATTAAGTTGGAAGTAAGTTTGTACATTAGTAAGTATATTTCACATCAAGTAAAACATTACTCCCGTCAAGTAAGAATAGCTACATCAAGCAATGGTTGCCAGCGTGACAATGAAGACATTGATATGGGAATATGTCATGCAGTTGACATGATACATGCAGACATGCATGCAACACGCTTTGACATGATACAGACATGCATGCAACACGCTGTGACGTGATAAAGACATATGCATGCAGCACATTTACGTCATATTGACAAGCATGCAGCACGCTCCCATGTAACACAGAAAAGCAATATATGCTTTGACATGATAAAAACATACATGCAACATGCGTTTGGGGGCAGAAAGAGCATTGAATTGATTGCCTAGTCATATCTGATATAACTGAACTTTAATCACAAAATCGTCGTATCAAAAATGTAGAATTCATCACTGAAATGAGTCACCGTCTATTTTTAGGCTGGTTTGTTGGTTTATAAACAACTGGGCATGTTGCAATATCCTATTCGTTATAATATATTTAAAAATAATAAAACAATATTCGATAATTAAACTTTTACAGCGAAACGCATTGAATAATTGACATGCAGACGGTTACAGCGTATCGTATCCTACTAAATGCATTAAATAGTTAACCTCAATAAAATTATTGTAAAATGCATACATTTTTGGAAAGATCAAAGAAAAATGCTTATAAAGCATTTAATACGTCAGCTGCCTGGAGGCTTCACAGGCTTATACTTTGGGTTTATATTGCAGAAACTTAAGAAATTCGAGGCCATCTTAAAGGAGAACATCTCGAGTCAGGTCGGCATCACCCAGAAGCATCATTTGCATCTCGCCTACTGACCTGCCAGATCTGTAACCACTATTACCAGTCACAGGGTCGACAAGCGATCATTGTTGATATAAAGTCATTGATGTCTTTGATAAACTTGCTTAGTTTAGTGTAAATGATCATCGATAAGATATTAGCAAATTATTAGGAATTGATCATTAAAAGAATAAAAATATGATTGATCATGTACCTGAGTATCGTTGAATAAAAATTCTTGTATTGCAAATTAGACAAGCGATCATTGTTGATTTGAAGTCATTGCTTGCTTCGGTAATCCTGCTTAGTTTAGTATAAATGATCATCATTAAGATATTAACAAGTGGTTAGGAAATGATGATTAAAAGGATAAAAATATGGTTGATCATGTACCTGAGTATCGTTGCATGAAAATATTTATATTGCAAATCGTATGCAAATTGAAGGGAATTAGCTAAATGTATTCTCTCTACGGTATTGTGAAGTGTTAAGTTATAACATATATATCATACCAATTCCATGCCTCTATCATAACCGCTCGTGAAAATTTATTATCTTATTCTCAAAATTTCTTAATTACTGGATCCTCTCATGCATGAAGAGGCATGTGTGAGTGCACTCTAGGTTATAAATTTACCTTGAAAATTTACCTTCTGTTTTACGGAATATTTTAATTGCGTGAGAACTGAACATTCGTGTTTAGGTTGATTGCATTGCTTTAGCAATGGTTGTAATTATTTATGCAGAAGGGAAGCATTTCGCTACTTTTGTAACTGCTCGTCAATATAGCACGCGAACATGAAATAATAAAGTTTATTTTTATTATTTCATTATTGCATGCATTGACAGTGAGAGGCGGTGGACATAATTTATTTTACAGCTTGTGTTCGCTCTGATGTTTTCGATCAAGTAACTTGAATTCTTTTAAATTCAAAGGCTTTATGTTCAGAACATGCATGGTTAAGATCAAAGTGCTCGAAGTTTTGGTTAAAGTTTTAGTCTATGACATAACAATTACCGGGCTGTCATCGTGACCTTTTGATCATCAGTACAAAGTTAGCTGCCAACGCGCTTTCATCTTGCGAGATTGAGCCTTTGCTGCGAAGGTAGTGGCAACACACATTATCTTAGCTGCCTCTTAATAATTTGTAATTTTTAAAATAATAGTTTGTTTATATTGTATTTTCCTTACAGCTAATTATTGTGATATCCATCAACACAAGTCGTAATCAATTACAATACTGAATGGAATAAGGTTGTAAAGGATCCTGCTTACGATGTTTTAGTGATTAAAAATTCACGACACTGTTCCAAAATTCGCATCGGAGTCTCAGCTAGGAGACGCAAGTAAGTTTATTGAATTATTGATAGCTGCACTAATAAAAATCGCATTTAAGAGGATTATCATGTCATCTTTAGAATTATAAATGCGATAATTGAGAAACAAGCAACAAATTAATTTCTTATTTTTATTTCTTAAAATAGAGTTAATTAGGTACCAGGAATAAACAACTGACAAAAATAGCCCTTATTTATATTTATGTATGACTGCAAGTTGAATGAGTTTCTAATCGCTTTATCTTTACTGGATTGAGACCGCGAACCAAGAAAAATTTTGACGCATGACAGCTTCTGATTTTGGTAATCTTTAGCAGAGGCGGCTTCAAATTTTGATTGGGTAAAAGGAATTCTGAAAATGACCTCTTTGATCTATTTATTTTTTATTTTTTTAACAGGTTTACGATGAACGACGAATATTTCGAATATAAATTTACCCTTCTTTATTTTGAATTAAGTGATCTACGTCAGATGAACAAGTCAAGTAATAAGTTTATCATTATTTCCTTCTCTTGAAAAAATGTTGTCGATGTATAAAGTAGAAGCAATTATTTATATCATTATTTTTACCCTGCATTTGGGCAGCTAATTTGGACGAGTTACCCCGGCTCCTGAGACCTCGGCAGCGAGGACGGCCTGCCTGCCGGGGCTGAAGGCGGTATATAGAACACACCAGCGTGGCCTGGGACTGCTGCGTCCGATATACTAAGAACACTTAGGATACTCGAGATACTCAGGATACTAAGAACGCAAAGGATATTAAGGATATTAAGAATACTAAGGATAATAGGAATACTAAGGATACTAAGGATACCAAGGGTACTAAGGGTACTAAGGGTACTAAGGGTACTAAGAGTACTAAGGGTACTAAGGTATTAAGGCTACTAAGGGTACTAAGAATACTAGGGATACTCAGGATATCCCGGATAACAAGATCACTAAGGACACTCAGGATACTAAGGATTGTAAGGACACTAAGGACACTAAGGACACTAAGGACACAAGGATCCTAAGGACACTAAGGACACTAAGCATGGGCTGCATCCCGTCGCTGCTGAGCGCCCTGCGTGGGTACCACGGCGCGCACCTCACGCCGCGTCAGGTGGCCAGGCAGCGCCGCCTGCGCTCCTCCAGCAGGGCCAGGCAGTGAGTCTTGGGGCCGGTCGCTACTAGCGATCAATTATTATTAAAATTATGCTAGGCGATCAATTATTAGATCATTAATTATTAACATTAACATTATGATAAGTGATCAATTATTAGATCATTAATTATTAACATTAACATTATGATAAGTGATCAATTATTAGATCATTAATTATTAACATTAACATTATGCTAGGTGATCAATTATTAGATCATTAATTATTAACATTAACATTATGCTAGGCGATCAATTATTAGATCATTAATTATTAACATTAAGATTATGCTAGGTGATCAATTATTACATCATTAATTATTAACATTAACATTATGCTACGTGATCAATTAGCGATTAATTATTATTAACATTATAACAGATTACATAATTTTTCATTATATTTGATTTTATTCATTAGAATAAGTTGACAATCCCTTTTATTATTTAAATTAATACTTTAAAAGGAATTTAGACTCCAAGGTAGGTTTTTTATTTAAAATTGCCTGGATTATCAACATACGGGCCAACTCATCCATACCAATGAACACATAAATTTAATAATTCCCATAAATAGGATCCAGATTAATAGGGTAAACTGACTAATTTCTTTGCACTCACTTTTCCATTATCAGAACAATTTAACATGAGCTGAAATTCATTGGCAATAATTCGGTCAGCCGTTCGCTGCCCTACTTCTACTTCTACTTGTAAAATGCCCTGGTCACGTGACAATTTCTAATCAGCTTTGTAGGCGACAGTCAAATGTGAAGAAAAAATGCAGATGACCATCGACTGCACAGATAATAGGTATCAGTGATAACCAGAACTGGTCCTTTTACCTAGCCAAGTGACGTCGTTAACCCTTAATTAAGTGAACCTAATTAATGCCCATAAGGACGCAATTAACGGCAATTAAGAACTCTCCTGGCTATTGACGTTGAAACGTCGTTAATTATTAGTGTATTTTCTTGAAACAACGATGTTATTCTCTTGAAACAACGATTGAGTGAGGGTGTTGAGTGAGGGTGTTGAGTGAGGGTGATGAGTGAGGGTGTTGAGTCAGGGTGATGAGTGAGGGTGTTGAGTGAGGGTGATGAGTGAGGGTGATGAGTGAGGGTGATGAGTGAGGGTGATGAGTGAGGGTGATGAGTGCAGAGAGACTGAGGTGTTGAATTTAAGCTCATCCTCAAAATGTTGCCATGCCCGAGATTTTATTTTTAATTTTTATTTTAATTTTAGGCCTGAAAAAGCGAGTCCCCCAATATATTATACGTCGTGGGGCACAAGATGCGAGCCTGCGGCTGACTAAGATTATCCTCCAGCCTAAACTTCCTCCTGAATTTATTCTGTCTTGTAACTGACTTGAACTTAATTTCATCCAAGCTACGGCACATCTTGAATTTGGCCTGACTTTAAGTCACACTTGCCTGGTGACTCTTCATAATTAATATCAGTCACAGGTTTACCCCAATTGTTAATAAGACATTTTCTCGCTCGATTGCATCCATTACTTGTCGCTGTTGATCATATCCGCTTATTAATTAACCTTAACCTCTTTTGCTTACGTTAACTAACAAAATGAGAATGCACGATGGCTAATGTTAAGTTCCGTGAATGCGACGGTATTATTGGATGAAGTTGACAGAATAAAGTTTACTGAGACATTCTAACTCGGAGTACTGGGTAATTTTTAACGAATCATTAAGAATCTGAGCAGCGATTGGCAATTTTATTCGAATAAACTTTGAATCGCATTCCGCAATAGGAGATTTTGAAGGAAGCAAAAGAGAGAAAAAAACAAGTCTGATTAAAGTAACCAGAGAAGCACTTGAACAGCACAACACCAGACGCGTCCACTTTACTGAGAAATGCGGAAATCTCTATAATACCGGAAATCGGAGGCATTTTCTGACGGGTTTGCGTCACAGTTAAAGGCATACTGATATGCCTAGAATGATCCTATAGTGTTGAAGCCTGCTGTGGAAATGATCAATAAATAAAAGATGGATGACGGTGGATGAAAGAATGTTTAAAAATTGAATGAAGAATGTTGATAAATTAACGCTCACAGGTTTCGTAACAAAGAGTGTGCATATAGGGGATGAACGTTCTGCTGTGTATTAACTAAGTAAGAAAATAATCAAGTTATTTTGAATTAACTTGAGTGTGAAAAGTTTTATGTTATGCTCGCAAGACGCAATCGAAAAATATGATTATCATTACGAAGTTGTGTGTTTAATGACTAATTTACAGACAAGTTAGAACCCTGAGAGCAGTGCTTCTGCGCGTCACTATTTGACGTGCGTTCCACCAAGCTAGGTCCCTCAGATTGGGGGCGAGTCCTACATTCGTCTTAATTATTCAAATATTGTCTTGTGTTAATTAAATAACATAATGTACATCCTCACATAGATTATAGGTGGAGTTGGGGTGGTGAAGTTTGTGTGTTCCGATTGTGTGTCTTCAGATTCCAGGAGATATACGGAGCAGAACAAACCACATCAGTGACTCCAAGTCTCAGTGATAAGAAATATGATGTAATTCAGTCTCATGCATTAGGCGTCACGAGGTTTGTAGTCATCTGCAATTTGGACGGAAGTAAAAAGTCGGGCTCGAGGGCTTTCTTGATTTGTAGTTTCTGGTTAATTTCATGTCGCTGGACGGCAAATGAATAATAATGGCCATATAATCTTTTAAAGGCCGGTAAATGAATAATTATTCATTTACCGGCCATTAAAAGATTATAATCTCTTAGATTGAAATAAAATTTTTTAAAATCTCAGTTAGCCTTCCGATTCAAACCGAATCGGAATTATAGGAAACGCATGAAATTAATATGTAAAATTTAGGTTCTTTAGCGATACAGCTATTCTAGTCACATATTATCCATTTATGTGGGGAAATTAATTTTCATTCATCTTGGCTTATTACATATATGATCTTTCGAAAAATGATTGTGTTTATATACTTGGAATATAAAGTTTAAATCAAGGTTCCATTTATAATTTTTTATCTACAATAAAACCCGTCCATGCACATCTGACATGGGACGAATGTGCCGTGCATCCCTTGCGGGAGGTTCACACAAAGCATGTTTTGGAATTTTTTGCGCTCATTCAATGCGCTAATTGGCACAAGAACACATAAATCCTGCTAATTAATGAAAATGTTTATTTAAATTACAAGCACGGGAGGCTTTACGGCACTAATTAATAATTTTGAATTCGGAAATTATGCTAGGGGATCACTATAGCATCCTTCCATGCAGGTGTGGTTCTAGGCTATACAGAACGCGTTTAAAAAACGTGGATAATTGCCGAGATGTTGAACCTTTTACGGCTGCCAAAATCTGCGGAATGCAAAATTGTCCAAGATAAGTGGCCAATTATTGACAGATTGCAATGAAATTCGTGAAGGTTGAGAATATTAAATTATTAATTGAAGTGGCTTATTGGTAAATATTTTATAGACTTTATTTAATGATCTTTAATAATTTTGTAAAACGTGACTCAACTGAGATTTAACCACAAATACGAAAGACCGAGGAGTATGCATGTAGTCAATGGCTTAAAATGCGTGGGTCTACTACAAAAGTATATCACTGGAGTCCGTTACAAAATGATCACCGCGCGACTGAAACGAATAATATTACTTTTGTTGAAGCGAAAAATATTACTTTGATGAACGATAAACTGTGTCTAGTAAAATGGTTGACTAATTTGGGCTTGTGATACTATTTTCGATTGACCGACTTCAAATTTCGACTATCTGGTACAATAAAGGATTTCCGTTAAAGAAGGATTTCTAATCCCGCATTATACTTTTGCATCCTTCATAAGAATTTTTATATCCCCAGAGGCCCAGTTCGGAAGGACATGTCAGCTCCCCCTTCCCCAGAAGAAGATGGGGATTTACGGTCCTTCAGTTTCGAGGCACCGGCTTCCCCAGGGCCTTCGCTCAGGAGCAAGAAGGCAAGCAAAGGCGGGGGCTCCCTTTCGCCTCTACCCCCCTCTGGAACCCCGAGGCAAAAAGCCCCTAAATTTAGTTTCTCGGGGAGCCGCAGAAAAACTCAAAATGTGAATTGAAATATAGACAAGTAGCCCAAACTGCTAAAATTATTTCTATGGTATTTCGTCACGAATGTTCCTAGAATCAACCTAAGAATCAATTTGTTCCTAGAATCAATGTCCCTAAAATAATGATTTGCTTTAACTTGGCATGAAGGATTCTAGATAAAAAATTGGAAGAATTTAAGAGAAAAAATATCAAGAGAAGTCATATTTGATCAAGGTATAGGTGTCGCTGGAAAATGTATGAGGAAATAGAAACACACAATAATATTATTCTACTGTGGCACGTTTTACCTCAGATTTATTCTATTGCATTCTCTTATCCTCTCGATGTATCAAACATGTAGCATTTACCTTTCGATTTTATCGCAACTCTGATATGAATGTTCTCAGAATCACAATGTCTACTTTATTACGTAAATGCAAATTAATTTTTAGCCACTTTTACCGCAAATTCAACTCAATTCATGCTCAGAGTTAGTCTACGTAATTTATTCATGATTGTGTTCACATATTACGTGTACATTGTGCATATCTAAGACATGGCTCTTTATTTAGACATAATAATATTAACGAAATTTATGAGGAAAAATGTATTATACTTTGTTAAATTCGGTGAATAGTTTTAAAGTAGTGTTTGTTAAAGGAACAATGAAGTAAAGTTGATTCCGCTTCATACTTTTCAAAAAGTCAAAAGCATTATTAAGCATAGCATATCTGGTCCTACCATAGCTCTTTAACTTGATATTCTATCTTCCGTAATAAAAAATTTTCACTCGGATACTCAATTTTCCTCTACCCTACATTATTCTAGTAAAAGCATTTGTGTAAAATAGTAGGCGTGGTGGTTCTGCGTGGATAATTCGGATGCTTGTATTGTTTATTGTTGGTAATATTCACGTGTTAAGGGGAGCGTCTCAGTCAAATATCGAAAATTTTGGCTTATCGGTTTTCTTGACTCATTTTGTAGCTGCTGAAAAGGCGCGTCTAACGCAATACGCCGCAAGTACGAGCTCTAGTTTTTGCATAAAGCAATTTAAAAAATGTAAAAAATGAACGTTTTTTAACATTATGTGCAAAGATTTTTAAAAATTAAATCGTATTTATAGGTCATTATTCATGTAAATTGCAAAGTCTTTGCACTCGTTTGAAAGCTACAAACAATACGCGTTCAGCAAAGCTAATGCCATGGATGTACATGCAATAATTTTTGCCTAAGGCAGTTTTGAATTTTCATAAAATGACAATTTTCATGACAATATTTAAAAACTCTCATTCGAAAAATGAATTCATATAGATCATTATTTGCGTTAATTGCAAAGTGTTTGCATTCTTTTGAGAGCTTCAAACGATGCACGCTTAAGAAAGTAAATACCACGGATGTACATGTAATGTCTTTTGCGTTAGGCCGTTTTGTATTTATATAAAATGAACATTCACACAGAACACAGAACATCACAGAAATAACATTTCTAGCCTATTATTCACGTAAAACTGGACAAGAATAAGTCTAAAGACGCGTGCTGGTACCCTAAATGCAAATAATTTGCAATAGTGAAGCATGGGCTACAATATCAAGAATTTTTTTTTGGCATATCCTTCTTTTTTCAATAAATTTTACTTACTTGGCTCCCGGCCTGAACAATTACAATTTCAAAAATGCGCCACCTAAAGAATCTATCTCCTCTTATGATTTTCAAGCTACTGCATTGAGAGATATGCCATTCGATTCGTAAAGAAAAGAACTAGACAATGGTCGTAGCTTTTCTGTAATTTCGTTATAGTTTGGATAATTATATTTTGCAAAAAAGGGGGAGGGGTGGAATCGAAAAACGGAAAAAATCCCCCCTCCACCCACAAAAATGAGAATTAAAAAAGACGCTACGACGAATTGCTAGATATGGTCTTTACGCATCGAATGATATGTATCTTGATGTTGTAGCTTGAAAATCCTAGGAGATAAATTTCTACAGTACCCTTTTTTTGCCGATTTGTATGAATTTCACGTTTTCTTTCATTTTCAAATTTACATGAACAAAAAGTCTTAGATTTCTGCTTTACCAAGTTTCAAAGTGATTCGTCCGTAAATAATTTTTTTTGAGGTAGACGCTCCCTTTAAAAATAGTTACGTTTTAAAAATAGTTACATGTTAAAAATAGTTACGTGTTAAAAATAGTTACGTGTCAAACATAGTTATTTGTCTGTAATTCTGTCAGCAAACCACTGACGGCTTTTCAAGCTAAACCCTCCAATCACAGATGAAAAAATTGGCCGTTATATAGGCACACTTAAGCCGCTACCTGTACTTAAGCCGTTACGTATACTTAAGCCGCTGCCTGTGATTAAGCCGTTACGTATACTTAAGGCGCTACCTGCACTTAAGCCGTTACGAATACTTAAGCCGCTACCTGTACTTAAGCCGTTACGTATACTTAAGCCGCTACCTGTACTTTAAGCCGTTACGTATACTTAAAGCAGTTAAGCCGCTACCTGCACTTAAGCCGTTACGTATACTTAAGCCGTTACGTACGTATACTTGAGCCGCTATACCTGTACTTAAGCCGTTACGTATATATATACTTATGCCGCCACGTGTGTTTACGCAAGTTTTGACAATATGGTCTGCTTCTATAGGCACCTTTTCTGTGTTCATTCTGTTGGGCTCTTAATTACTTAACTTATAGGTTGGATATGAGAACAAAATTTTAATGAAAACAGATTATGTTTATGTAAATACTGACTTGTTTTTAGCGCATTTTCTCATATATGGAAAAAATGCACTATTGTGCTCGCCATGTCCGTCTGTCCGTCCGTCCGTCCGTGACCTCAAGTTTTCGTCGACGAGAAAATGCGCTCTCTGTCACTCACTGCAGTGAGTACTGAGTTATATGTTTTTGTATTTATAGAGGTTTAATTTCCTAAATAATTTTCAAGAAAATAGTGGCCTAGGTTGGGTTGAAGTGGCCGGATGGAAGACACTCTTTAAGCTCAACGTTGATTGAAGTATGATGCGGGCCGACAAACATACATCGCAATACATAAATTAAACAAATTAAATTAAAATCATCAAGAGAAGACTATGAACAAAAACTTGAATTAAAATATATCTAAACTTGATTGTAGGTAGCGAATTATCAAATATTTCATCGATATAACAATGGAAAAGACACCAATATAGTGCTAATCATTATCCTAGAGATAATCAAGTCTTATTATTTCTAAGTGATACCGTCATCAGCTGTTGGTCTTGGTATACCAGTGATTAACAGAACAATTAATATAACAAGTAAGGGAACTATAATTTATGATTTGCATGTAATATCAAGAGTACATAATAATGATAAGATGATGAACTGAAGTCTGAAGGCAATAATGAATTGCAAAAATTATGTACAAAGTTCAACTCACATTTCCGTGCAGGAAATTAAAATGAATGTGAAGAATATTTAATAATAGGCTACATAAAATTTATTGAAAGCGGTCAAACAAATTTTCATTTTAATGGGTCTATTTGCTTCTATTAAATTTACTTCGTTGATTAGAAATCATGGTCACAATGTGTCCCCTATTTAATAATCAGTAATAATCAATTAAACATTTATTATTTATAATTCAATAATTTCTCATTCACTTCGTCCGTCGTTGTTTTGGCTCGTTCTATAGTTCTAGTTCACAAAACTTCGCTCGTTTTGTGTCACGTTCTTAGTTATAGCTTGCTTTTGACCTCTCTTTTATATAAACATTTTGTAGTATAATATTATAAACGAATAATGAACTCAGTAGGGTAACATGGGGCAGCGAGCCCACTGCGGGTCACGGGCCCATAGCGGGTTTCTCGCTAAGTATGGCAGATATTGGTCCGTGTTCTCTACCGCCGGTCGTCCCCAGGGGTGGGGCAATGGGCCCATTTTGACACTTTTTACAAAATAGTGTTTCATTAAAAATTGAATAACTCTATAGGCGTCTAATTCACATCATACATTCCTCATTAGTTGCACCTTTAAACAAAACAATGAACCATCTCGTATCAATTAAAATTTCATCAAAAATTTAGTTTGAAAAAAGTGGGGGGCGCGCTGCCCCACGTTACCCTATATAGGGTCATATGTAAACGATTAGCAGCAATAAGCTATTTCAGCCATGAATTAAATTTAACTTCAATATCAATTGTTATTGTATTACTCTCATTAACACTTACGTAAATGTTTTTAAATATTTATAGATGGTTTTCAAATTTCAAGTTATTCAGAGCCAAATATTTTTACATTACTTTTATTAAATATACACTAAGTAACGTACGAATTATTAATAATTAGATCCACAAAACAGGTTAAAGAGTCCCCTCACATCCGCATCACAAGCTTTCTTAATGCACACAACACGACGGATACTTTAAATTGATTCCGTACTCACAATCTCATGAATCATGATTATAAAGATTAAAGTTTGTTATCGGTGTAAACAGACACACAACGTACCTATAACGGCCATACATGGTCAACACCCATGACCGAAATCTTACTGCGTACTATCCATGGGCCTGACTAACGCATATGACATATGACAATGACACCTAATAAGTCACCATGTACTTGTGTCGCCGACATGAGTACAGAAATTACCATGTACTTATGTCACCGGCCTTCAATCAAAACGACATATTTTCTGACAAATAATTAGCTACCACTTTTTAGTGGAATCTAAAAACAAATGGTATCAATCACAATTACGTATATTCGTTTTCAAACACTAGAAACTGTTTTTGACGAATGCGGAGGAAAGGCGAGTTAAGTGAAGTATCTTCTGCGGGACAGACACTTTAATGAAATGAACGTAATTACATCATGTGTAATTAATGGTACATAGTTCATTCGAGTAGGATTTATTCGGTACGCACTAACAACAGACGGATTCATTTCTATGATTCTATCGAGGTAACGTGCTGAAATTATGCCACCGAGGCTTTTTATTTCTTACTTGTAAAGCAGATTCTTCAGATTTTCTGCACTCTTTTAATAAATGAATATGTAACATATTTCTAATTTTTTAACACGATGTGATTTAATTGATATTACACCTTCGTATCAATATAGGTAAGTTTACGCTATAATTGAGAAATTTTGTATGATGCAAACACAAAAAACGACAGAATTGAGATGGGAAACTAAATAAAATATTTGGTCTCATGAATATTCGTTATGAACGTGCATTAACTCACTCATACTCGGAATTTAAGCCAGTAGAATGAGGTCATTAGATGACTGTAATTTAATTCAATAATCAGTCCATTTGTCCTATTGAACATGGCAAATTCAAGATTCCGATTGATGGAAGGAGTGGCAGACGATGAACAGTGTTTTAACTCGTGCAGGATTTTCCACACGTAACACTAATTTAAACCAACTTTGAAAAATATTCACAATGGAATGCACTGCATTATGCTTAACAAATACGTACATTTATGCATTAGCGCTATTTTGTGGCTTAGGGCTGAATTTCTTCATTAATTCATTTCATTAACTTGGACGGGGTTATTAAAAATTTGTTTCACTTTCACTAATTTTTAGATGCTGTCATAAATAGAGTAAAAATACTGAGATTAAAAAAAATAATAAATGAAGTTGGATGGACTCTTAATAAAATCGTGCGAGCGAATGTGTGTTGATAATTTATCTTTATTTGTTAGCCAATTATTTAGGTTGATATAATCATAATTTACTAGAAACACGATTGAATTT